ACTAACACTACTTTTTCCGTCATTTTTTTGACAATTTTATTTAACATAAACACAAACATTCTCGAATATAGCTCTTGATTTGACTATGATTGGCTGAAGAAGTTAACGGAAAGGTTTTCAGACGGAAACGATCATTATCGTCTGACTGGAAAATCGACAATTCGCTCAAAAATGGACAAAAATTCAGAAAATTGTCAAAAAACTGACGGAAAAGGTTCTAGTGTGACAGCACCTTCAAGATGACGGCTTTTCTTAGCGTAAAGATGATGGCGGCTTTTTGCATTCTCGTAAAGGATGGAATATTCCGTGCAATATTCAGATAAACCTCACATACCGAAAAGTAGTTGAAGATCAGGGGTACCAACAGTTTCGTAGCGTAAACTATTTATCAAAAAGTATCGTTGCTTGTCAGAATGTTTGGCATGATTTTTTAAGGATATTATTCTGTGCAGCTGTATCTATAAAACGTTTATACTAGGTAAAAATACTTTCGATGAGTAAGAAATCTAAAAAAAAAATTGAGTCCTTTTTTTGTCTTTGTGCCACAGAACGCGTTTTATTTGCTATATAATTGTGCAGTAATTGATATTGGTGATCGTGAATTACTTAGTAATGATAATAATTAGCATTAATACTACTGCTAATAATAATAGTAAACTGTAGGTTAAAAAGTGATCACAGGTAAAATACACCTGTTCAAGGCTTTATTTATGAACGTGCTCAGGCTATAATCCATGATGAATTTTGGTAGAATCTTTTTTCGCTTTTAAGACTCATTCCAAGCCGTCAGCTCAATGTATTCCAAATGACAAGTACTCTCAGGCAAGTTAACCTTCAAACCCGCTTCTGCAAATCCACAAATTGAAGCTATTCACATCGGTTGAGAACATGATAAAACCGTACAGTCAGCCCTTAACCTGGTGTAAACAACCATCATAGCCCACTTAAGTTGTAAATCAATAATTAAGACAATAACACATGGTAACGCCAATCTCCCCCCCCCCCCCTCTTCCCCATCTCTCCTCGCAAGGCCGCTGTGCACGGCAGAAGGACGCTGGAGAGATCCTGACAGCTGTGACTACATAGATTGCATTTCTCTCAATGGAGAGCTGACCGCAAAGAGGGGGTCGTGTCATGGATATGCCTTTGACCAAGATAAAATGGCCTGCAATGAGGTAAGTGTCAACTACCGTGTTTGAGTTGATACTTTGCCATTTTTCTCTTTATGTAGTTTTGTGGTATTTTTTTTTTTTTTTTATGAATTACATGTATATACAAGACAAAAATCCTCCTAGTTTCGTCAGACAGATAGATAAATGCATAGAAATAAGAGAAACTCGGAAGAACTCAGTTTGAGTTGGTACACCCAGCGGCTAAATAAAGTTCTTGAGACTTGTAAACTGAGTCGAGATTGAGGCCGAAGCGGTCAGCTGCGTTCCCAAGCAAAGTGTAAATTTAATCAAATGGATAAATTGATAGAGAAGTGTTTGCTACATGAGCTTTTGAGAATTTGCCGACCAAATTGCAATTTAGATTAACGAAGACCTGTCCCGAAGAAACAATACAGCTAAACGGCCCACGGCATATTCATGTTTTTATTTCATAGTTTCTACATACATATATATACAGCTTTTGGGACATTGACATAAGAACTCGTGAACTGCAGTACAGGGCGGGGGGGGGGGGGGTAAGGGAATAGGCTTCCCACGCTTCCAATATGACCCCCGAGCATTGCCAAAGATTGAATTCCCAGTTCTTATTGTTGTATGACTGTATGACACATGATTGGCACGCGTTTCGGATACAGTCAAAAGTATCCGTTCATATGGATATTTATGATGAGGGTTACTTGAAGTGGAAGAAGGTGTACACGAAATTGAAATGATATCTGAACCTTACTTAGAGGACTTTTGAGTACAGGCAAGCAAGCAGCTGCATATGACAATTGTTAAAATAGAGAATGGGTATACCCCTCTGTCCTAGCGATACAATGGACAAGTTCTACAGAATAGCTTGACGCTCCAGAACTGTATTCCATTTTGACAATCGCTTTTCCCTCAATTTTCACACCGAGGACAAAATGTAGCTAGCAAAAGCTCCTTTTAGGGTAGGCCTACCGCACCCTCCATCTTGACAGTCGTCTCTCACGTGCTATCCTCTCTCCCAAACAGGAACTTTCCTGCCTTCGATCATTACCGCAATTCCGTTATGTCGGGGAAGACCACTCCCTCGCATTCGTATGTAAGGGAAAACCAAGTGGGTTTTATTGTGCGGATTGCAAAACTCTTGTGAACTGCATTGGTGAAAGTGCTTTTCCTTACACCTGCGCAGACCTGACCAGATGTGACAGCAGATCCACGTTTGGGGGTGGCGTGTGCTATCCAGAATCTCCTAGGAGGTGCTTTTGTCACACAAGGCACTCGTTTCACGTCGATTTATACGACGATCGGAAATTCTACTACTGCGAGGACGTAGAGAGTGAATATGAGATCTTCCAGTGCCCCAACGAGATGGTCTTCAAGCAGAAAATGATCCAATGTAGAACGCGCTCAGGCTTACCGAATTGTGATCGCATGGGCGTCTTCTCGTATATTCCCGACTGTAGAAGGTACTACGTCTGCATCCTCACCCTGACAGGATGGGTGCAGAAGGCCTTCAAGTGCGGCAGTGACAGCGCCCTCGGTGATCTCATGTTCAATCAGGTCACAGGGGAGTGCGAGGACCCCTGTACTTGGATCGCGAAAAGTTTCTCCTGCCAAAGAGAGGGTCGCTTTGGGGATTTCGTCAGCTGCCGTATATACCACGAGTGTGTGCGCATGCCCAACGGATTCCGACACGTGAAGCATGAGTGTCCTTTGGGCTATTCATGGGATCCGACCGCTCTCAGCGGGTTTGGCCTTTGTGTTCTGGCCGATACTAACAATGGCTGCGCCGTGGACAACTCTACACTGAATTTGTGTAGAATCCCTGAAACTAGATGTCCCTATGTCCCAGGAGGAAATTCATCTTTCGTTCTTCCTCCCGACGATATTGATTCTTCCTTGGTCATCAGTACTGCTACATCAGACATTCCAACCACAATTGCAAGTATTTTGCACAGCACAGAGGCTCCATTTCCTACAGGACAGTCTCAAACCTTAATGCCCTGGGATTACACAACGATAGGTGCAGAGACCACAGTTACTGAAGGTCCTCTGCAAACAAAAGGTAAGTATTCCTGTATCTCCTGGATAATAAATCTCATCTCATATCCCCTTGCAATGGTACCCCTCTGCAAACGCCATAACAAAAACGTCCCTTTCGTTACACCGAAAAAAAGAAAAGGATAGAAGCACGTTACTTCCACCATTTTGGAAACGAGCATTCTGACCTAATTTTCTCCCGACCCACCTCAGCTCCAGCACCCCAGTGTCCCCAGCCGTTCGACTACGTGGCCGGCGATTGTGTCATGGTTTCGGGGGAGAGGGAGAGGCGGAACTACACCGGAGCCATGGAGTACTGCGGCCTGCTAGGAGGTGGCTTGGCCTCGCCCTCCAACCTGATGGCGCTGAGGAACTACGTCTTGCTTAAACTGGGTGGGTGTGGGGAGAAAGGGGGAGGGAGGGAGTTGATTCGGAAAAAGAGGAATAGGGAGGTTAGGGACGGACGGAGGGAGGGAGGGAGGGAGTTGATTCGGAAAAAGAGCAATAGGGAGGTTAGGGACGGTAACCATATTTTAACAAAGGTTGGAGGGGGGAGACTGAAAGGGTTGAGGAAAGAGGACGACAAACTGGAAGAAGGTAAGAGAAGAGAAGGGAAGGAGCAAGGGGGAGAGGAAAGGGAGGATTACGGAGAAAGGAATAGTAGAAAGCAGGGAAGAACAGAAATAGAAGGTTAAAAAACTGAAAAATGAAATGGAGAGGGCATGGAACGGGAGAAAGGGTATATTCCTCGACTGCAAAACTACTTTAAATTGTGGCGTAGCTGGCTTTGCTGCTAAAGAATAACTTTTCCATGTTTGATATCATGTATATTTGTAAAAAAAAAAAAAAAAAAAAAAAAAAAAATGTACAGGATACATAAAGCCCCTCTTTAGTATCTTAGAGGAGAGTGAATATCGAAAACAAGGGAACAATGTGAGTTCGTGAAGCATAAAATGACAAGTAAGCAACCGGAAAGAAAACGTAATTATGGTAGTAAATTCTATGTTTTTCGCTGCCCGTGGAAAGGATGCTAGAATTCCTTTTCTGTTCGAAAGAGGAATACTTGCTTCCACTAAACTGACTCGAGCAGGAAAGCTATGCATAAAGAAGCTAAACACTAAGGGAATATTTACTATGTGATAGACACCTCCACCCTGTGCCCCTTAAAGATCGTTAACAATAATCCAGTAATAAGACCAACCCCCTGAAGATTTCTACTTGCAAGACCTGCCATAAGTAGCTAGTAACAAAATCGTACGTCATGTCAACGCCCCCCCCCCCCTCCAATTTTTCATACTTTCTATTTCACTTCAGATTTCTTCCGTCTCCTCTCGCCTTGGCAACTGACCAATCCACTCACACACTAGATTTTTAATTATATACAAATCTTTATCTTCCACACTGTCCCTTTCTTCCCCAGGTGTGATTCACGTTCGCGTCGGCGCAACCCGCAATCCCTCTCAGGAAGATACCTGGGTCTGGCCCGATGGAAGACCCGTCGCCGCCTCAGCCTGGGGCCCTTGGCAGCCTGACAACGGCGGGGGTCAGGAGTACTGCGCCACACTCAATACCAATCTGTGGTGGGACGGGCCTCTCAATGACTTCAGTTGCGAGGGCCTGTATTCCTTCGTGTGTCAGTATGGCGTGTAATAGTGCTGTTCCTGTTAATTGCTGTCATGGTCAGTCTTTATTTTTGAAGTTTTTCGTGTCATCATCCTCACTGGTGTCTCTCTTAACGATAAAAAAATATTTACGGCAGCTGTATGGTAGCACAAACATTCATTGACAAAACCATGAAGTTTATATACTCATCACAATACATGATTTTTAAAAAGTGTTGTCTTTGAAGTAACCCTTATCATATTCCCAATCGAAATGAGAAGTACAAGTATTATAGAAATATAGATAAGATCTTTTTAAATATCACCAGCTAAAAAAGAAACTATATCCATGTTTTATTTTGCAGATAAATTTGCTTTTGATAAATCAAGGTTATAAAAGTCAAACCATCAAATGTGCAGTTTTCTCCATTTTTAATTTGGCAGGCAAGAGCAACATTGCAAATTTCTCTTAATAATTTCATTAAACATTAAGGTATTTCAGCCTACACATCCTATGTGATATCCACATTACCAATACCATTATTTCAAAATCCATATCTATAATTCAGCAGTTACTGGGTTCTTCCTACAGCTGAAATCACCTCTTCAAAATCCTTAAATGACCACGAGAGCCAAGTACTACACAACACATGGCACATAGAAGCAACACATGAAAAGGCATAAACCACTAAATAACCAACTGTTGACATGGCATATATATTTATATATTTTTTCCGATAACTTTTCAGTCACAATAAGCTACAATAAATGCTAAATCCACACAGTACCCTAGATGCTTTGTGGTATAAATTATGGTGTGGACGGACATCTTCTGTCCTGCAATTCATTCTTGTATTTGAAATTTTCTAATCACTCCTTCCCTGTATTTTTTAAGGTCATCGTCTTTTTTTAAGATTTTTTTTTTGTTTTGTAGAGAAATATACTTATATAAAATAATAATAATCACACTAATTAGGCTTATAACTATTAGTTTACACCAGCACATTTTATTTGGGAATCCATGGACTTACACGCCTTTTCAATGTCATTTTACATCTCATGATAATTTTATTGGACATGTTTCTCTTTTCTTTTTGTACTAAGGTGTGGAAGCAGGAGAGATCTCAGAAGCAAGGCAGTGCTCTTGGTCTGAACTATGGTTCTTCATAGCAGTCTCACGTTGGTGATCATTCACTAAACTACTGGAACTACAATACATTCCACATTAAACTACAAATAAATGACTATACTAAGCTAGCTAAGTTAGAGGAGTGTCTGCGGTAGATTTCTACATCTGTAGCCATTTTTTTCTTCTATTAAGCAACTTCTATTCATGATTTTCTAAAATTTCTTAATAAATTCCATTTATCTAAAGCTTTTAAATATGCAATAAGTTGCGCACACTTCTTAGAACAGCATCTCAAACAGCAATAAATATAACATAAAATAGGTCTTACAAAAGTACAAATTACCAACCTCTATCTGTGGTAAATAAACAAAATTATGAAGTAACAACAACAACAACAACAACATGATGAATTATATTCAAGAATAACAAATGTTTCATTAATAAAATTGATACAAAACAGCCCGTTCTCTTAAAAACCTCATGAATAATCAGTATTGGTTAAAAGTTCAACCAAATCATCTAATCAAAAGTTTGAAATGAAAAAATTTGTTTACTAAAAGGTTTCATAAATCAAATGTCAGCTTGAAACGAGTTTATTTGTGGGGATGGGAGGATCCCTTGCTGCTTGGTGTTGGAGCTTAGACGGAGACTGATGCCAATGTAGGGGATTGCCCTTACCTTGGACCTCAACCGTTGCTTTGACTAATTTTGCATGGTTTTTTTTCTCCCCTTTTCATCGCCTTCATCCCCTTGTGGTCACATTCTAAACTGTGAGCCCTGTTGAAAGGATGAAAGGCTATTTTGTCAGTTCTGTGGTCCTTCATCCTCAGTTGCTCTTCCTTCTTTACCCCTTTTCACTATGATGCTAACCTATAGCACTTTACAACTTTTATTATCCAACATAATTTGTCCTAATTGTTTACTCATTTTTACACTTTTCATCAAAATACTATTTCACAGTGCTGTATGACCTTTGAAGTCTGGCACATTTGTTTTGACCATTAACCATTCTGGGAATCAATTTACATAACCTTATGAACAAAAAAACTCCCTTACCCGGAGTTTCACCCCAAGCCTCAACCTACTGCTATATACTGAATAGGCCTTTTAATGACCTTAGATACTGAAGCGGCAGAAATTTTTCAGTAAAGAAATGCAGATCCTACAGGTCACCATCTTTCTGTGTGTTCTAGGAATAAATGGAGTTCTAATCATTTGTAGCACCAAAAGCATACAACCAAATACTAGATATGTTGGGTGCTTTAGCCCAAGCTTTTCAGTACATATTCCTCCTCCGCATCTAGCTAGATAAAAAGTTAAAACCATAAACATTATAAAACAAATCCTCTAAGGCCTTTTCATTTGATTGAGCAATGCCTGACTGGCACTGGCCCAGTGTTTAGGAAATAAATAAACCAACCAAGTGCCTGTGCCCATGGTTGAGCAAAATCACCAGATGAGACCATCTGCCTGGTAGTCAGTACGCTTCTGGGAATGGATGGGTGACCTGCCAGACACCTGAACCCCCTAGTGTATGACAAGAGGCACTTTGCCTGATGAACAGGCAAGGTCCATCAGGCACCGTTCAATTGTGAGGTTGGAGCCTGAAGAGAAAATTAATATTACACTACCACTTTTTGGAAATGCACAATTTGCCCCTCTATTTTACACACATCAATATAATACTTTCACACTATCAATATAGGTGAAAATTCTGTGGATGAATTTAAAAGAAAATCATTAAAAAAAAAATAATTACACCAAGCCCCCACAAAATCGTGTGATATGAAAACTTGCATGTCTACTGCTTGGTACACAAGCCATTTGGTTAGAAATAGACTATTACATGTCTGTTTTCAGATGAAGCAAATGGCCTGTGCCTAATGTAGAAACAAAACTTATGCCCCCAAAACCTATTCCTTACAGGAGGAGTAGTAGCTAGGTTATTATTGTCTATTTCTTAACCTTTCTTTTTATTGTATTATCTTTTCATATACTGAAAATTTTCTGCCACGTCAACATCTAAGGTCATTAGCGCTTATTTCAAGATTTAGCAATAATGGATGTCATAGATGATGCTGTGGTAGAAGATCTTCAATTAATAAAATAATTGACAAATATGGAAGAAAAATTAAAGATCTAAACCTTAACTGTAAAGTATTAAAGCCTGTCTACACGAGCAGGTATGAATGCTGGGCACGAATAGAGATATCAGAGGCGCACAATCTACTCGGTAAACAAGTAATTTCCTCTTTATTTTCTTGGCTCTATCACCGTTACTATCAACTGATCATGCCTGCTTGTGTTGACAGGCCTTCAGACAATTCTTTTAACTTGTCAATCAACAAAGAGTAGAGTATTTTTTGTTAATAGTTTTTACTTTTAAATAGAAATATAAAAAAATACATTTAAAAAATACAGCAATGAAAACTAAGTTCAAAGCATAAAGTAAAATAAAATAAAGGTCTAACCACAAATTTTTCACTTTTCGGAAGACGTAATACAAGGTGAATAAGAATGAACATTGTTTAATATTTCTTTACATGAGTGCTATATATTAGGTCAAATGTTTAACCCTATTGGTGCTAATAATGGTCAAACCTTTGTCTTGCAGCTGGCATCATGTACAATGCCATGGTTTAGCTGGGCCTAAAGTACAGGTGGCACTGCTTCACGACACCCAGTGCCATCAGCTCATCATATGGAGTTCATATTTCTCTGATAGTAGCGACATTATTTATTTAGTGTAACTATTACATGCAAGCACTTAAAGTGAAGGGAAACCTTAAATATGTCAAAACTTTTGCTTATGAAATAGAGCTACAAGCTACTGAGTGCCTAATGTTGTGCTTGAATTACTGAATGAGTCGAGCGTAAACGGGAAACTGGCTTTACCCTACATTCAAGAAAAAACTTTTCCACTAGAGTATACTTAGCCATATCTATTTCCCTTCCAAATATTTTAGCCTTAACAAGCTTTTCACATCTTGTGATGTACCTCAGAGTATACTTTTACTTTTATCCTTATCTGGATATTGTGGTGTAATAGTAAGGTCATAATCTTTTATATTTAGAAATGAAATTCGTGGGCTATTTGAATTTTTTTTTTATAAATGGTCAAAATGCCAATTTTATTTCCGTACAGAGAAATAACACTTTACTAAATGGTCCGACAACTGCCTGATACACCCAAAAGGATTAAGACAAATCATAATAATGATAATGCTTGTGACACCTTGAACTATACAAGGGAAATTTTGTATAAAATTTAACTTGATAAGCTAAAGAGAAAGATCACATATTTATAGGGTAAAAGTAAATTATCTGGTATAAAAAAAAAAAACTTTAATTCAGTCTATTGTACTGGCTAGGCTTAAACCTTTATATTTGAACAAACTTTTCGCAAGCTGGAGTTGTACCTTTGAAAAATGAAGATAAAATTTGCTCTTAATTCTATGATTAGTGGACATAATTGGCCTCTCCTTTCAGGCAAAATACTTTTTCATTGCCTCAGCATACTTGTGGGAAAGCATCTTTTGCCGTTTCTTGAGAATTTCCACCTGCTTCTTGATGAGGGTGTTGTTGGGGTCAAGCAAAAGAGCTGCCTGAATGTCTTCTTCAGCCTTTTCATAGTTTTGCAGTTCAGTGTTTGCCACAGAGCGCCTGTAAAGGGCCTTGATGTTTTCAGGGTCTTCGTTAAGGACAGTCACTGTGGCTGCCACAGCCAGTCGATACTGATGATTGCGTAAGTGATAAAGCCCCAGGTTGTTGTAACAATGCATCTTGATCGCCTTAATCTCAGCCAGGCTGCTTTGTGCTTCCTCTGTATTTATTGTTACCAACCACTTTACAGACTGGCTGAACATGAAAAAGGCTGAGACCTGCTTGGAAAAACTGCCTTCTTTGTACAAGCCAACACCTAAGTTCTTATACCGAATGGCCCTGGCCATTTTCTCCTCTGGGCTATGCTCAAAAATCAGCTTTGCATTTTCTATGATCTTCAGGCCTAACTGGCAGGTAAAAGTGATATCGTCATTGTCTGCCTCATCATCCACATATTTTCTTGGCAATTTGATATTGATAAGGGCTGTTTCATCATCATTCATCACTGAGAGGGCCAATTCCAGGGATCGGTCAAATGCTGAGACAGCCTCTCCAAAAACCACAGTTTCTTCAGCCTCACATACTAGATACCGTGATTCAAGCAGCTCTATCTCACATGAGCAGCACTCATTGGTTATATGAACACATATTTTTGAACCATCTCTCGGAGCACTCTTGCCGTTGTAGGCCCACTCACCCTCAACATTTAGCACTTCCCAGCATGCAATATCAATGATCCTCATTCTGGATATATTTAAACTAACTCCACAGTGTGAGAATATGGGAATTATTGAGATGTGGCTTTACTAGAGATAAGACAGATAACCTTTTTCTCCTGCAGTTATACCACACTATGATTATATTTCCATAATTATCTAATTGGACTTTTTCTTTGACTTTGAATTCAAAATCTTTTTTAATCATCAATTTAGTGACTCATCTTTAATAACTTCACACAATTGTAAATTCAAGCACTTGTTTAACAGTTTAAGTTAGACCTCTTTCTTGACTTTTAATTTCTAATCTTACGAAATGGTCAAGGGCGAATGAATCTAAACACCTTTGCCAAAAAATTGAAGGCTCTTCAACACCTACATAGTAACATCAACCTTTACAATATGAAATTACAAAAAAAAAAATAAAAAAAAAAAAAAAAAAAAAAAAAAAATTGATACCTTAGTTAATAAATAACAATAACAATAGGGAAAAAAATCAGTGCAGAAGTACAATCATTATCATCATATTAAATGAGATCAGAAATCTCCTTTGGGGTTCCATCCAGGTGTTTCCCAGCTAGCTTCAAGGATGCAGCCAACAGCCTCCGCGTCACTTCTGGGTCGTAGCCTGGCTTTCCTTCCACTTCCAAATTCTCACTGAGAAAAGAGAGGGAAAAGAGTCATATAAGGGGGAAAAAAAGTTAAATCCAATTAACCACTTTCTGCCAGGTGGCATGTACATACATGCCATGGCTGTTGTAGACAAAGTAGTGAGTGGCATCAAACACAACACTTCTAACTTCGTCGGCTCATTGGATGGAGCTTGTTTTGTCTGATAATAGCAGCATCATTTCTATGGTAAAACTTCTTGGCAATAGCATTATAACTGAAAGTAAACCTTCAAAAGTTGGATTTTTTTTTTTATTGGATCAAAATACAAGCTTTTAGGTAACTAAAGTTGAACACAAACTACTGAACAAGCCAGATGCAAACTGGGGAAACTGTCGATGTGCGCCAATAAACCCGCGATCATGTCCACTTGCCAAAATCTTTACCCAGCGTTATTGGGTTAATTTAATACATTTGCATTACCTTGTCACTCTGCAATTTTATAGTCAGTCTGTCTCTCTCCCTCTGTATCGCTCTCTCTCTCTCTTTCTCTCTCTCTATCGCTCTCTCTCTCTCTCTCTCTCTCTCTCTCTTTATCTCCCTCTCTCTCTCTCTCTCTCTTTATCTCCCTCTCTCTCTCTCTCTCTTTATCTCTCTCTCCCTCTCTCTTTATCTCTCTCTCTCTCTCTCTTTATCTCTCTCTCTCACTCTTTATCTCTCTCTCTCTCTCTTATCTCTCTTCTCACTCTTTATCTCTCTCTCTCTCTCTTTATCTCTCTCTCTCTCTCTCTCTTTATCTCTCTCTCTTCCTCTCTCTTTATCTCTCTCTCTCTTCTCTCTCTTGATCTCTCTCTCTCTCTCTTGTATCGCTCTCTCTCTCTTGTATCGCTCTCTCTTCCTCTCTCTCTCTCTCTCTCTCTCTCTCTCTCTCTCTTCTCCCTCTCTCTCTCTTTAATCTCCCTCTCTCTCTCTCTCTCTTTTCTCTTTATTCCTTCCCTCTCTCTCTCTCTCTCTCTCTCTTTATCTCCTCTCTCTCTCTCTCTTCTCTCTTATCTCCCTCTCTCTCTCTCTCTCTCTCTCTTATCTCCCTCTCTCTCTTCTCTCTCTCTCTCTTATCTCCCTCTCTTCTCTCTCTCTCTCTCTCTTTATCTCCCTCTCTCTCTCTCTCTCTCTCCTTATCTCCCTCTCTCTCTCTTCTCTCTCTCTTATTCCCTCTCTCTCTCTCTCTTCTTTATCTCCTCTCTCTCTCCTCTCTCTCTTTATCTCTCTCTCTCTCCTTCTCTTTATCTCCCCCTTCTCTCTCTCTCCTCTCTCCTCTTTATCTCCCTCTCTCTCTCTCGTTCTCTCTTTATTCTCCCTCTCTTCTTCTCTCCTCTCTTTATCTTCCTCTCTTTTTATCTCTCTCTCTCTCTCTCTGTATCCTCTCTTTCTCTCTCTTGTATTCACTCTCTCTCTCTCTTTTATCTCTCTCTCTCTCTCTCCCATTCTGTTATCGCTTCTCTCTCTCTTTCTCTCTCGTGTATCACTCTCTCTCTCTCTCTGCTCTCTCTCTCTTCTCTTTATCTCTCTCTTCTTTCTTATCTCTCTCTCTCTCTCTTCTTTATCTCTCTCTCTTCTCTCTTTATCTCTCCTCTCTCTCTCTTTATTCTCTCTCTTCTTT